AAACGAGTCAGGCATTTAAACTTCGGCCATGTCCCACTACGGTTCTGTTATCCTTAACTGCCAGCATGCGAACACGATTACTGCCAAATCAAAAATTTGTGCTCCCATCAATAACGCAGATGCAGTTTTAAATTCTTTCTCTTACGTTTCCTTATAATTCAGTATGTGGCTAACAACGAGAATAATCGTGTTTGGCGACACTTGATAAAAAGAATCGGAATTAATTAAGGAATTAGGCCATCGTGCATATGCATAGTAATGTAGATTGAAAGTATTTGCACACAGTTTGAAGCAGAGCCCCTTTAGGTAACAACATCTCCAGAGAATGTCTGCGGTGTTGCTATTTAAGAAGCACAGGGAATGTTTGTGTAGCTCGTCTTGGTGTAAACCGTCACCAGTTACTTATTGTGCCTTACCCACAGAAAGGCAGAGGGCTGAAATAGTCCCCCGCTCGCACCAGAAAGTGGATACATGCACATACGTATCTCTCTGCATCATGATTGATTCTTCGAGACCGTTTCGTTAATAATTTAGCTCATATTGCTTCGCGACCAGCGCGTTCACCTGATCTAGCACTGCGCGACTTCTGGTTATTTCCTCAATCCAAAAGACCACTCCGAGGATATCATTTTAACTCTGCTTCGAGGATAGGAGAAAACGTTGGTATAAGTGCATAGTATCTGAGGCGGGTTACTTCGAAGGCGAGGAAATACATAGATTAAACTAAATTTGTCTTAATTTTTGGTGACAGTAGTATTTCGGCTGAGGATGAATAAAACGCCATTTATTTTTATTTATTCATATATACATTTAGGAATGTACGTTAATAACATTTTTTCTTTATTCATTCATTTTTATTATTATTTTTTTTTTATTTTTTATTATTGATTTCGTATTCAAATAAATACAATTTAATGTTAAAACTAATCTTTGCATTTATTTATAAACACTTATTGTTAATTATAATTTTTATACATAGTTTGAAATTATCTAGTATTTTCGTTTTTTTTCTTCATCATCTTCTTCTTCTTCTACTTTGTTTCAGTTTATGTCAAATTTTTAAAGATAAATAACAATTGCAATAATTAACAAATTGAAAATATTCGATTTTTTTAAAATTAATTCACATTTATATGTGCTCTCAGAGAATATATTAGCTTTGTCCGTCCGTGCTTAGAAAATACACTTTTTGAAATACTGGAACATTTTGTGTCCTTACGAGAGGGAAGATTGCCATGCAAGTAGGTTGTCTTCTTAAAGTTCATAACGGAATTTGCTTGAAAAATGATAAAACCGACTAAAAAAACCGACGAACTAGTCTTCTCATGTATGAAGAATTATGGAAAATTGGATTTCAATTGACGAAAACATTTTAAAAACCAATTAGAGTTACTTTTAAACCTTTCAATAAGCAGTGGATTAGATTAAGTAGAATTGTGAAGGTAAGTCTTTGAGTTGATTGTCAAATACAAAAATAACTGATCCTTATCGGAATTTATACTTGGTCTCAATGTCTTCATCACCCTTGGAAAAAGCCAAGTAAAAGTTGAAGTGTATTTTCACCTGCAAACTGAAGCGTTTGGTTTTCATTACGAATGCTGCGAATGAAAATAAACTCAGTCTTGCATAAGTTCAAAGAACTTGCATAATTAACAAAGAAAGTGAAAGAGTGTTGCGCATCGAACGAATTGTACAAAAGGCAGATATTATGTTTTAAAGATTTTTTGTGTTTTTGTTTTGCTTAAACTGTTGTTGTACGAGGAATTTTTGAAATCAATTATATATTATCAACAATCATTGTATTATAACTAATTTTTGATTAAATTCTATGTATTTACACAAGTGGTTGTTTATTTGTAAAAGTTAATATTTAACTTTTTATTAGTTGTTTTTGTTGTTGTTGTTTTTTTTTTATTGCTCTATTTTGTGGATTTTCAGATATGTTTATTCAATAACAAGAAAGAAATTGTATTCGGCTTGAGGCGAATCTTTAAAATATCGTAATATAGAAATTAGTTCACAAGACACAATGGATCAGATGTCGTATCGTATAGGTCATGGTATACACATGGTAAGCGATTGCATAGCATTAACTACATTTAAACAGGACAACGGGAATGTGGCTTATTTATAAATTATATAATTTTTCAATAATTCTCGGCGATATATGGTTACGGTCATGTGATTTCCAAAATGATGCAAAGATTACTCTAAAAAACAACTAAATATCCAACCATTGAGTTTAGCTTGAAGTGTCTACAGTTTCGAAAACAGATATATTTAAATGCGGAAGGCAAGGAATGATCAGATTTTATACCCTACATCAGTTGTTTGTTTGTGTGGGCGTGCAAAATACACAGAAGGTAGGTAAGATAGACTCACTTTTTATTATACTGATCGATGGAGAATTACTTTCTAAATTGATCTAACTATGATACATTTGGCCCAACGACGAAAGCTATTGAAACTGTAGTTCGGATCGAGCCACTGTTTCGACCACTTTTCATATAAGAGATTAATTGAAAATGGCATTACATGAATAACTGAATTAAATGAAGCAGTTTAGGTATTGGATGCCCAATAGCAGACCTTGTGCTACTATAGTGTTTTCATTGTGATCGGATTTCTGGAGCGATTTAAGCGAAATGCCATTAGAGCACTTGACTAGAGTGACAAGAGCAAATTTGAGTTTGACCAGTTTGCTCTTTTGTGTCGATTATATGTCGAGTCTGTATTTCTTGCATCAACCCGTCGTATATCAAACTAAAGTCGACATTGTGTTATTTGATTATGGAGCTGGTTCCAGGTAAGTTAAAAAAAAAAAACAAATCTGGGAGTGCAAAGGGTTAAAGTCGTTCAGTTAAATACTGAATGGCTTCAGAGAAGGTTCTGCTACTTATCCTGAAGATGAATGCGTACATATATATAAATATGTATATATTTTTGTGGTCTTCCCGATGACTATTTGTGTATGCTAAAAATGTCTCTAGCAACTCGTCCAGTGATAATGGATACGAAAAGTGTAGCAAAAGGTAGGTAAATAAATTCCATTGCACTTAATAACAATTTTTCCAACTATGCTTCTGATTCTAAATATTTGGTACTTTTCAGCTTTGGCTTTTTTTTTTTTTTTGTTACACTAACGCAAAAACGCATACCGAAATTTTTGAACATATTCGAAACATTTGTTAAAATAGTTTTGGGTAAATAAATACTTGCATAGTATTCATCACAAAAACACATCAGTGTTTTCCCTGTTTTAACATTCACATGCATATTTATATATTTTCACAAACGACAACAGCAAAAGAGTTGGCAAAAATATACAGATTATTATGTTATTGTTTGATTATCATTTAGGATACTTTTTATATGGAATTAAATGCAGTTTCTGTCAGCAACGCGTGGGCGTTTAACATAAACCCATTTCTACCGTTATGGATTATTTTGACTTATGATGTTTTGGGACGCGCTAGAGTCACCTAGCTCTATCTGATCGGCTATCTATAGAACAGCTAGAGGAAAACTGATTATCAGTATTTAAAGGCCTTTTTCGTAAAAATAGAAGCCGTCAAAAAGCATTGGAATTACATATGCTTTATAACAACTTTTTTTTTAAGGCCACATATTCGAAAAGGTTGTGTTAATCAAACGTACTCTAGAAACCCGTTAAGAGATCTTGTTCAAAGCGAGATAGTGATTCCACTTTATTCGAACTCGACTCTCTGTTATTGCGAGGGTCTATCGTATGCCGATGCACTTATATGACTTTAAGTGTTTTTTAATTACCGACCGCCGATCGTATTGGAAAATAAATGTAATCCGCGAATAATCGCCAACCAATAGATAAAATACTACCGAATATTACTAGCCGATGTTGCTCCCAAAATTAAGGAAAATATTTACCAAAACAATGTAAAACTTTACTGAAAGAAATTTCTGAAATCTGCTAAATAGCTTCGTAGCCCAATGCAAAAGCAATGCCAAATATTGATATATCACATCGAATTAGCTCTAAGATCAGTGAACAAATGAATGGACCGAGTGGCTGACAGTTTTAGTTTTAATAACAAATTTTCAACACCTTAACTGTTAATTGGCTGGTGGGCTGTTGAAGACTCAATTCTCGCTCGAATATAATTTTCTAGCTTATCATCTCTGACTCTGTCAACCGCTCACAACAAGCGATTACTTTCTATAACATGACTGATATGGAGAAAGAAAAAAAAAAACATGTACTCTAGCAGAATTTAGTTTAAAATATATATATATATATGTATATATATATATCCGCCTGAGTGTCCGAGTAGGCAGAGTCTCGACTAACAATTCAATGGCTGTGGGTTCGAATCTCAAATGCGGTAGAGCTTTTATTAAGGCCGATAGGCTTAGACGGTAGTGCCTTAAGACTTGAGTCCTAGAATTTATTCTCTGGCTAAATTAATAATAATAATAATAAGAGTTTAAAAATATAGTCTTCACAAAAAATTTCTTTTTAAAGATGACAATTTTTCTGTGGCGACGCGCTTATGCAACAACGTGTTTTCATCAAGTCTTATAAACGTATGTTGTCTGCTTTCACTCAGGAATAATGAATATCAGCTTTTCAATGGAAAACATGCGTTTGGTTTTGATATTTATTTGAATTTCATTTTAGGTGATTTTATATCGATTTATGCAACAAGAGGCTCAATTTGATTCACATAAATACAATATAAACCGCAATTCATAAATTGTAAGGTTTTTATGCACGCAATGAATAGAATTCCATTGAGAAGGATATGTTAAACAAAACAAAGCGTGTTAATTAGTTTTAATTGTGAAATTTTAATTCAATTGCGGTTAACTCTTAACACTGCAACTGAAATTGCGTTCAATAACGACCATAATATTTTCAAATAATATCATAAGTTAAAGTTTTTTTCATTTTTAAAAAACCAGATGATATTCATGAATATTGATTAAAATTTCCCAGAAATAAAATATTCATATTTAATAATTAAAATATATTAAACATTTATTAAATTGTTGGTGATTGTCTTCGGAAGTCCTTTCAATCTGTTTTAAGTGATATGAAATTTTTTATTTTTTTTCTATTGGGCAAAATTATGCTTTGGTCATTGAATTTTTGCATCGTTTATCAGAGTTGCACGAGCTTTTCCGACAGCTTCCCACAAAAAGGAAGAAACTTTCTTTGTACTATATAGAAGAAATCTTGGATACTTCGCTCCTTTCACTTTTTATGCTCTAAGCTATAAACAATACTTTTCGTTATATTTCTCTTATTCGGCTGGCTTTGACATTTTAAATAAGAAAATTTGGAAAAATCTTACGATTTTTATATACTTTTAATATACTTTTGATCGGGCCGTGAGTTTGGATTGATTTGGTCATTTATGTTCACTGACTTCTCAGTCTTCTGGCTCTTACCGCCATTAAGAACGAAAACGAAAAAATTATAACCGTATGCATGTCTTCTTAGTCAAGGTCCAAAATCCATTGTCAAAATAGACGAGGATTGTTTAGCGAAACATTTATAAAATAACTAAATATCGACTACTTGCAAATAATGTAAATATGTTAAGCAACATGAGATGTAAAACTTGACGTAAATAAAGGAAAATACTTTAAAACTTTTCATACCTATGCTTAACGCTCGAGTCATTCTAGGTTTGTTTCAGGGCAACACAGAAACATAGCTAGAATGATTTGTCTTCCTCGTGCAAGTCAGGACATCAACAGCAGATAGTAAAAAAGAATTGATAAATCACTTGCCATTAAGAAAGGGTTTCCGAAGCACGTGGACGTGAAAACGCACTCTATACTTCCTGGTAATGAGTAAATGTGTTTAGCTTTAAGATTCTCACCAACTAAGTAAAAGCAAATGTTTCAACCAAAATGTAAATAAAGAATAGAAGTTAAGAAGTTAAGTTAAATAATCAATTATAATAAATTGAAAGAGACATTATTAGCTGGTGTCGGAACTCAGACGGAAACTTCTTTAGTGAATTTGGAGCGATCGTTTAAGTTTAGAATTAATTTGTCGGGACGTTTTGGTCTGCCGTTCGAAGGATCGGTTGTCTGGGAGCTGGAAGGTTTACTATGCTCAGTATCCAATTTTTCGGCGTTACTTTCCGGCATAACATGAGAAGTTAAAGTGATAGTATCGGTAAGCGGTTGGGTTTCACTAACTTTGGCTTCGTGAGTAGAAGATAAATTTGATAAACTAACTTTGCTAACATCGCAAGACAATTTAATGCCTTTACTGTTATTATCCTCATAACTATCACTATCGCTATCACTATAGTTGTTTTCATCTTCGTCGTCTTCATCGGTGGTTGTATAAAAGATAATATCATCGGTGGAATAAACTTTTTCCGTTAGTTGCGTTACGTTAGTACCATATTCCAAAATTTGAGAAGCCGTTGTTGTTATCGATGTCGACGTTTTGATATTCTTCTCCTCCAATTCGCTTAATAATTTGCTACATTTACTACTTAACTGAGCTAATTTTCTATGTTTCTTTTTAGTCATTTTACTACTTACGCTAAATTTAGTTTTACAACTATCACAAATTCGATAACTTACACTAGGTACAATGGTTGTCGCTTCCACGCAAGGCAAGCTGGCACTGCTGGTGCTGTGCCCTTTAACTTTCGCATTACTTTGATTTGACTGATTATACCTATTACGACTCGTGCAGGGCGGCGTGTTAGTGGCAGCTGAGCGTTTCCTACAACTGATACGTCTCTGCGGTAATTGATCCAAATCATCGGCTTGCGAACACATGCAGTCGAGTTTAACATTTTTAAATCTTAAACCAATACCCTCGGGCTGCGGCGAGCCCAACAGTTGACATTTATTCACCGGTTGTTGCATCGCAAGCTCGTGCGAATGTTTACAGGGTGAATTGGCGGTGGCGGTGGCGGTGGCGGTCATGGTATGATAGTGTTGCGTACATTGCTCATAGCAACGTCCGCAAATGATACGATGATTTGACAACATTTCTACTGAAATACAATTTCCGCTCAAGTCAGTATTTATGGATTTTTCTTTGCAATAACTTTTCAACTGCGATTCCAATTTCGTTGTATTGTTTGTTGTCATTGTTGTCACATACGTGGACGGTGGTTGTGATAATGGTTGCAGTTCGTTGGCCGCTATAGTTGACGAACTGCATACATTATTGTTGACCGTTGCTGGGATAGTGTTGCTAGTTGCAGTTGTAGGTGGAAGAGACAAAGTTGGCACTTTGAGTTGAGTGTACTTTTGCATTTCGTTGTTCAGCGATAGTAAAGGCAATGCTTCCGGCTTGCGTTGAGATAAGGTTAATTGATTTGCACTTGTAACAGCTTGAGTGGCGGCAGCAGCCACCATCATCACGCCACCCGGTGTTTTCAAACCGTCCAACAAACTGGAAATGGTCATAACCGCTACTCCTTTGGGTGGTGCCATCTCTTGTATGCGCTGTAGTTGGACACTGAGCTGACGTATTTCTTCTAAAGCCTCTTGTTCGGAGAGTTTATTTTCTGTGTACAAATAAACAAAAAAAAAAAAAAGAAAAAAGGAAAATCCAAAAACAATCCATGTAACAATGTAGGCAAAAACGAAATCGTAAAAATTCGTTTTGTAAAAAAATGTCCGCATGTAAAGTAGAAATGTGTATGAGAAAGTAAATAAAAGTATGAAGCTTGACTTACCCAGCGAACTGGTACCGGCTATGGGGGCTGTTGATGCCGTTACCGAGCCAGTATTAACAAACGTGCGCACTTGGGGTCGAAAATTAAATTTCGCCCCTGTTGACTTGGCACCCATACTAATGCTCTCTTGATGTGATTTACCGCTACGTAATACTATATAAACCTATGATATAGGCAATGCAAGTACACAAAAACAATTCAAGTTAATGGAAATTCCTTTTTCAGATATATATACATATATATATATTTTTTTTTTAATATATTTGCTCTTTTTACCTTACTGCCAAATATTAAACACAACAGTAGCGTTATGGTCAGCTGGGTATGGCAAAAAAATATGATATAAAGTAAATCTGGATTGGCAGGAGATTGCAAAAATAACCTTGGGGCGGAATCAAAAAAAAAAAAAAAAAGAAAACATATAGATACATATATATAAAAGAAAAGATATAATAGGGGAAAAACAAAGAAAAGCCGGATTAACTTTTTTCTTTCTTTTGTTTTTTTTTTTTGTTTTGTTTTGTTTTTAAATCGCTAAGGAATTTTCATATATGTTTCTTTTAAATGTCACGCGTACAACTTACATGGACACATTTAAGAAACATGTTAGTAGAAACTCATTGTATATGGCCATCGAAATGAAACGGCTTTCATTAAATTCTGAGGGCGCCTTACGCACCATTATACATAAACGCACACCCCAAGCCAAGAATACAACCTCCACTGTAAAATGATATAAAAAGTATAAAAAAAAAAGGAAAAAAGACAAGTTAATAATGTTTCATCTTTTGTGACGATATCTGATAATAAATATGTTTTTATGGCCCGTAGCTATACATTCGGTTGGTAGCGATAAGTCATATAAGTTTGAATAAATTCCTCTTTTTTTTCTTCGTTTAAGAGTTGATAGTTCAATAATTCATGTTTGATAGCTTACATAATGAAAATATCGTACGATTGAATGAACAGTCTCTTGAAAGACGCTTTTTTGCCCAGAAAATGCAAACCATTTATTCTAGGGGTGGGCAACATCCGCCGTCAAAGGGCCAATATTTATTTTCTTATCAGATCAGGTAGCGAAGGCAGATAATTTGAATGTAGCGAAGTGAACCCCATGACACCGTGAGTCGGATGCGGACCGCAGAACAGCAGTTGCCCGCGCCTGATTAGTTCTAACTTTGTCCAGGCACTGAAAGAAGAACAAGCGAACGTGCAACTCTTCACTTTCTGAATCAAAATTTCTGAATTGAAGTTCGTCCTTTCCTTTTGTAGGATCGGTCATAAGAAAATATATCAGACTGTTAACACTCTTGGCTCATAGCAGTGTTCTACTCAATCTGCTACAATTCAAATTATTTATATCACTTCTCGTATTAATTAGAAGTGCAAGGAGTCGAACGCCTCCGGAAGTGTAGAAAACTCCGAAAGCCTTATATCAGGTGTGTATGTCACTTATAAAACCAAAATTTTTGTATAGAAAATAAGAATCAGTTATATGAAAATGATAACGAATTCGTCCACTTTTCATCACCCATTAGAATGCGATGAAAAAACTTTGTTCCTTTTGCATTAAAAAAAAATTACGCACACTACCAGACATGCGACATGTGCTGGTATTACGACTGCTTATTATTGCCAAATGCCAGGCTATGACAAAAAATCCCAACTTAAGATGTGTGTGCCATGTTAGGGGTAAATCTGGGCAATTTCCGGTTTCATATTTACGTGCTTAGTTATTGCCAACAAATTGAAAGTGTCTGATATTTGTATATCGGCAATGCCTTCAAACTGAATTAAGATATTTGTATATCGGCAATGCCTTCATATTGAATTAACCGAATAATAAAGACGTCTATTGAATTCTCTCGTGGATTCTAATACACAAAAGGTACACTCATGCAGAATATAATGGTTTCAATTCCAATATTCTATTCTGTACATAGCAATATGTTTTAAGCCTTTTGAATCTTTTAAATTTATTTTGCCTTTGTCCAACTGATGCTTCTACATTAAATACAATACGAATTGCAAAAGCTTCGTGTAGTCTTCAGCAGTGAATAATAAATTCTTTTGGCTGACAAGTACAGAATGTTTGCCAGTGCCCGAGAGATTTCTGCCGCACAAGAAAATACACTCTGTTGAGCAAGACTCAACGGAGCATCTATCTTGCAATATTTGATGTTGATAGGCACTTTGTCTAAGAAATTTCAAACTGACGTAGAGCTTTAATAATGATGGTATTCCCATTCATCGCTTAAGAGATTTCAGGCGAATTTTTATCACACCTAGATGTACATAGAAAAGTTGCTTTATTTAAATAAAATATATATACGCAACAATAATATTATTTCAGGAAATGCTTTTCTCCTCCCTTTCACTTGCCGCTATTCAGTATGCGATTATATTTCCATTTACTATTATTTCTGCGAGCGCAAGTGCTATTAGTTGAAACCTAAGCTTTCCGTAAACCGTAGCTTCTATTTAAGTGAATTTTTTTATTTATTTATTAATTTTTTTATTTGCCTCTTTCATATGTAAGTCGACCACAAGGTTTACACAGCATTACAAACGGTTTACAGTAGTTACTAGTCATGAAGCAATCTTGTGACTCTTGTGAACGAGTTACGTGGTAAGTTTTGGTTTTTCGAACCGTCGCATCGCATCATTCTCCTATTCTTTAACCCTAATGCCCAGTCGTTTATAAGAATCATGGGAATAATTAAAATGTTATTGTTATGTACACCACTTATGCAGGTGCATACAACACCTGAAAAAAGTTAAGACAGGCCTATATTTTATTCAGATTTATCTCGGAATCGATTTAAAGCTGTCTATCTGCCTGCCCTTCTTGTACTGCTCAACATACAGGTCGAAATTTTTAAGATATTTTCATACACCTGCGTATTTCGGCTCAGGGACGAACGTTATCGAAAATGATTGGGATCGGAATAGTTTTTCGAACACTGTCCGCCCCATTATGGCGTATTTTGAAAAGTCATTATATGAATCACTGTATTAAATGAAGATTTGTAGGGACCATGGACCGCTGCTCTTACTTGTGTTATTCTCTTAATTGTTTATGTGTAGATGGAATTGATTTCTCTCTTTATTCTTCCTGACTGTATGTATGATTAGCACACATCCTGATTAGACAATGTTGCCTGTTCACGTAAGAACGTGACCGTTAGAAACAAATAAAGATAGAGAAATAAGAATAGTGGTGGCCGCAGCGTAGTCGATGCTTGCCCAAGCGAAAAGTTTCATGCCTTTACCGGTTTGTTGAAAATTCTTATAGGACTTGAAAATACTTCATTTTCAATTTAAGTGTAAAGGTTACTAACTTTGCTTCTATTCTGTCTTCACTCTTTGCTCTTAGTTAGGAAAAATTCGAAACTACCTATCAATCTTCTCCTATGGAGGAACATATGTTTTATTTTGAGTGTACTACGTCGTAGGATACTTACTTTCACGTAAGCTGGCACTCTTAAGCTTATACAGCATGTTTGCAGTGCGCTTAGAAGTGTGCTCTAAGAAGTTGTTTTTTCTCTTTTGTTATTAAATATGCTGTGTATGTGCAGACGTATTAACTGAAGAGAAAATTATGGTCGGTATGTCATGTAATGTTGAAGCATTACATGTGAAGATTGGTACTGTCTAATAATCAATTGGTCAACAATCTCCATACCTCTATTTATTATCCTAGGCCTGATATGTGTTCGTTGTATTCAGTTTATTTATCCAAGAAGACAAAGCAGACATCTTCATAAGATAAGAAAAAATTTGTTTGTTGATGTGTCCTTTTTGTCCAAGATATAGGATTTCTTTCTGACTTGGGAGTCAGTTGAAAATTAAAAAGGATTCCTAAGGACTCACATTTGTCAGGGTTAAGGTGAAACGTAGTAGGTCCGCTTTAATTTAAATGACAACTGAGTGATTTGCAAAAAAAATTTCGCTTTTCTCGATTTCTTTGTAATCTATAAATATTTTGTCAAGAGACGCTCTGCGATCTCACGAGTTCTTATGCTTTTATCTTGTCTTTATTAGTTCCTTCCAGATCGTGATGCAAAAGCGCCGAAGAAAAATTTTGCAAACCAAATTTAGTACTGGGGTTGTGTCCATTCATTGCCTCCATGCAAGTCGAATAATTTTTTTCTCCTATTCGCTAGTGATGAGAATAAAATCCGAAAATCCTGCTTTCGACTTTGCTTATTTGGTAAGGCGCCAAACGAAAGCTTTTTCAAACTTTTTTTCCCCGCACAAGCATTACGATATGAGCTATCATATATATGAGGACAGTGCGCGAAATGAACTTCCGAACAACAGATGAAGGCAAGCAATAATATCGCCAGGTATCTTAATCGAACACATCTATGACCCAACTTACGCTTTATTCTTTATTATGCTTAGTATTTTTTCTGTGTTTTTTTTTTTTTTTTTTTGACTAACTTAAGGCAGCAACGTTGTGTAACATGTGTTAGGGTTAAAAAGCGAAAAAATCAAGCGGTTGAATATGAAAACTTTTGTTTTAAGCCGAGTACAATTGTTTTGTTTTATTCCATTTTTGTTCTTCCTCAGCTATTTTTGTGCATTTGATTAAATTTTTTAAATACCTTTGTTTTCTCCTATTCTTTCTGTTTGAGATAATGTTTCTTAAACCGAACAACAGCAACAATAAAACAATATTACTGCCATTATGTTTCACATTTCTTACATGCATGTCATTTTTTGTTAAATGTCATAAACGTGTAGTGAAACACAGCAGAAAATATATAAAAAATTAAAAAAAAAAAAAAACATTTTATTTTACTTTAAGCAAACAGAGCAAAAAAAAAAAAAAAACAACAGCCTTAACACATACATTTCAAAAGATATAAGTAAGCCCTTAGTGTAAGCGTTGCTGTTGTTGTTGTTGTTGTTGTTCCCTATATATGAATAAAGAAAGGCAAGTGTGGCATACGTAGTTCGCAATGAAAAGCTAATGTATGAAGATATGATTGCATTTTAAGGACATGACTCTTGCATTGTACTGCCTTGTGTTGAGTGTCAGAAAACTTTTATATGTTTACGTCTACGTCACGAAAAGATAAGGGTGGTGCTACAGTTGTCATTTCGCTTGTACCATTAAGAAATATGAATTGCATATATATGTATGTATGCGTAAATAGTACTACGTGTATATTGATCATGTTCAAATCTATGTTATGCGACACCATGTCGCGAGAAAGATGGGAAAAAGTGACCTTTTTCAAGGGAAAAAGTTATCAGAACACATGCAAGCACCTAATAATTTAGCCAGAGAAAAAAGTTCCAAGACGACTCAAATCTAAAGGCGTCAACATCTAAGGCTATCGGGTTTTGTTGAAAACTCTGCCGCACGTGAGATTTGAGTCAATGAGTTGTTAATGGAGATCCTTCGTCTACTTCCTTAATTTAAAATATTTTGAACATCTTGACCATGGCACAGATTTCACCTCATTACCGTACTTAAGGTACAACTACCTTCGATTGGCGAACCATCAGGCCTAAAAGCAAATGAATCTTGAATGAATTTTGTGCATCCATATTTTATTTCAAGGCGTCTTTAATTTTCTTACTCGCTTTTTCATTGAATTTTTTCAACCTCTTCATCTTGAGTTTTTTTTCTTATATCTTTTTTTCATGTTCGTATTCTCCTTTCTTGAAAGATTCGTCCCTTTTGGCATTAAAAAATAATAAAGTTGTTATATTGTAAGAATTCATATTTAATGCAGATGATATTAAGGCAACAATAACAACAATAACAACAAACCGTTCTTGTTGTATATTATATTTACTCTTTACTTTTAATACACTGTTAAGAGCTCAAATTCTCACACAATTCTTGCGTACAAGTTAAAGTGTGATTTTTGCTTTTATCAAAAATGCCTGAAAAAAATTTTTTTATATTCCCTTTTACTATTGCAGCAACAAACTTGTGCGGAAAAAGTTTGCTGACTTAAGTGAGTGTCGAACTACAACACAGCAGTAAACAGAAGATACAAAGTATTTTTTACGTAATTTCTTTCCGCTTATACTTCCCCTATGCAACTTACTTGAAGTGAACGTGTAATCCCACCAATCAGTTTTACATAGGAACGCCTTTAGATCATCAGCAGTACGTCCCACAACGACATCAGGCGGCGAGACTAATGTGCGCACCAATAAGCATGTACCGATGGCACCACAAATGCAACCTAAGCGCTTAAGCAAAGCCGCATCCGTAATTTTTACTGCCTTAGCAGATCGCACACGAAATATAACAGAAATGCTGCAAGAAGAAATCAAAATAAGCTCATAAATTTTCAATTTTCTTATTTTTACTTTTACGATTCATCATTTTTTTTTTTTTTTTAACCTTTAATATATTGAATTAGAGTTGCAATCTAGAGTCTATCATAGTACGCTTACCGCCATGTTTTTAACATCAAAGCACCATATGTTAAGGAAAACCCAATTTCTCTCAGCCAAATGCGAGCTGTGCAAGTGTATAAATTCGGATTGGGATACATAACGATATTCTGCAAATTAAAAAAAAAATAAAATATAAACGAAAATATATAGAAAAAACAATGTGTAAAGATGGTAAGCATTTGGTCTTAGAAACCTATTCGTACGTACGACAGTAGTAAAATTTAAAAGATTAAATGGAAAATTGAAAAATTGAGAAATCAATCGGATTTGGTTTTTATGCAAATGTGAAAAGAATTATTTAAAAAAAAAAAAAAAAACGAATTTTTTCAGAAAACAATACAGAGAGAGAAAAAATGACAAGTTCCAGTAGATGTAATAGAGGAACTTAATTTCTTCAAAGTATTGGATGTATGAATATGACTCTGGCGTTTGCTAAGAGAGAAATAGATAGGTAAAAAGATAGAAAGAGACAGAGAGGATGTGTGATTAACACTATAAGGTGCTAGGCTAGTTGAAGTTAGATTTACGGATCTATGAGAAGAAACTAATTAAACTCGCGTAAATCAGACGCCTGTTTAGTTACGCACTGCAGAAGAAAGAAATCAAAACCGGAAGTAGTTTGACCTTGATTCGGGTCATGTTAGAATTCACTTGATTCAGGCTGGCTGCAAGCTTGTCCATGCCAACCTTACCGCATGCCAACTAGAAGATCAGATGTTTACCGATTGAGTTGCTTTTGCGTCGTTCACTGCATCAGCTTAGCATAAATTAACTAAGCGTGGGACACCACGCTACTACTCTTCCTGCTTATTGGGAAGGATAGTGCCACTATAGCCACTATGAAGACCGGATGCATGACGATAGTCAAAGCTCATAAGACCACGATGGAACTACAAAGCTGCATATCCGTGGCAGATTCTTGTGATATCTTATCGCTTGTTCTAACTAAATGAAGACAACCATAAAACAACTGTTGCAATTAGAACAAAAACTGAGTTTGATTTGGCAAAAGTCATCGTATGGAGAGTCTTCAGTTTGAAGAAATTTCCGTTCTGTGCGGCCAAACTTGCTTAGCAAATGTTTGCTGCTCTAACTTGGAATATCTGACTCTCACTGCTGTCGTCGGCATATATTTGTCCTTCTGATCAAGAAGAGAGAGTGAATCGTTAACAAGCTCATTGTAGAAGAAGGGAAACATTCACTAAATGATTATGGATTGCGAGCTCGTCTTACTTAATCGTTTAAATGGGACCCACATAATTCTATCTATGGCTTTGAATTTTCAAAAATGCAAAAAATAGAGGAAAGAAGAATCTTGTATAAATAAATATTCAAAATTAATAAAATCTCTTTCTCTGATGTCGTCGGCGCGCTGGGTACATTCTACTATAATTACTCTAAGGCGACGCTTCTTCTTTTGAAACATTCTCGCAGACACGAAGATGCTTTCAAGTCACTTTAGACGTTTTCTAAACGCGTCTCTTAGCTTATTAGAGGAGTCAGAAAAATCCATCTACGACATAGATTTGAGCTCGTTGGGACAATGCGCGACATCTCGCGAATAAACTGTCGATGAAACAGAGCTCAAAGCATTTTTTGTAAATAATAGTAAAAAATTGATTTTTTCGAAACACACACAGTGGCCCTTAGATTAAGTTAAGTGAGAAGCGCTATAGCTAGGAAATTTTTCAGTTTTCAAACTGAAATCAAAGACCTTCCTGCAGTGGATGTTTAAACTGAAGATAGCCATACATCAACATTCAAGGGGAGTAAGAATGCACGTAAACAGAATTAATGCCCCGTTCAATGCAATTAAGTGCAGGTGTTCTAATTGCAATGTTCTAATTAATCAAAAGACCACAGGCCGCAGCATATGGGAAAATGGGAAAAAATATTACGAGGGAGTAGAAGAATAAGAAAAATAAGAAAATTGCACTCTATGTCGCCTCGCTTAACACTATTAAGTTCTTGTTAAAGCTGAATAAAGAAATACAAGACGCGCAGACAAAATGCATCACAAATCTTAAGAAACAACTAAACAGGACGGACAGACAGACGGGTAGATAAGCTTAGATCGATTCGATGTCGGCTCTATCTCAAGTCCTTCTGTGTGTTGCATATATCCTTACAAACTTAATATACCCTTGTATCACATATATAGAGATATGAATGTATGTAAATATTAAAACATGAGAATAAGCTTAAGCATCTGAATAAATAAAACGAGAATTGAAAATGTAAAATTCTGAAGAAGAGCATAAGAAAATATTAATGTAGGAAAGAAAGCTTAAAAAATACTAAGAATAAAAACACGAATGGTTATATGCCTTATATTTCCATGATTTCAATTGCTGTAACAAGTCTTAAATTTCATTTAACAAGAAAAAAACATAGCATTTTTTTACTGTAATGTCCAGCGCCGAACGATGAGGATGAGCATTTCTATTCCGTCCTGATCTTTGTAACATCCAGAAAGAAGCGTCAGAGACCCCATACACTATATAAATACACTTGACAAGCATCAATTTCTCATTTAAGATTTAAGACTGTCCGTCTGTCTGTCTATATGTGCTAAACATTCTCTTGGTCGTGAAAATGCAACAAACAACATGCTTTAAATTTCGTATGAGTGGGAGTTCTTGTAGGCAGATTGATAACGAAATCGAGTCAAGTCGGTTAGAGAACATGCTCACCGTACAACATATGTTGAAGACAAGAAAAATTTGCACCTGTTCAAAAATGGAAAAAATCGACCACGCCTATTAAAAATTACAGAATACTATTATTATCGAGTAAAGATCTGAGTTGTTCTACAAATCAGTCCGTTAGTCCGTCTGCTCCATTTGTCTGTTAATTGCTGCGATGAACGTACTCATGGTCATAAAAATGGAGATATTCGCCTCAGCCATACGATATAAATTTTCGCTTTTATTCCATAAAAATAGAAAAACAATAGCCCCACCCACGCAATATTATAGAGTATAGATATTTAGTTTTTCCTTCTCTTAAGTCGTTTTTTTAGAATAACTTGTGTGATGTGTATAAAGAATTCGGTCAGCGCCGAATGTGATTTTCTTGTTTATGTTTTTTTTTTTTTTTTACGTTTCATTTATTCTCATCTACTTACTGTGCAATATATAAGGAAAGCACCCAGGGCTATAACGCGTAATAATGCAGGACTAGCAGCTCGCACCACCTGATGAAAATATTAAAGATATTCAAAAAAAAAAAAAAAAAGAAAAAAAGGAGAATATGTAAAAACTATTTATTACGATTAAAACCGCACAATTACTCATGTACTTGTTTTAAAATTTTAAAACAAAAAAAAAGCGATTTTTTTTTTTTATACGCTACAAAATCAAATATTGAAAAATTTAAATAATTCGAAAAAAAATGTTTACCAATAAATTTTTTTAAATTGTTTACACCATACAACAACAAGAACGCGATAGTAGAAAATATTTATTTCAATTTTTTGTGAATATTTAATAAAAACAACAAAAACAAAAAGAAGGAAATTAAATAGTACTACACTCGCAATGAAATCATATGACTATCACAATTTAAGCGCTGACTGACCTTAACTTGCTGATAACGGAACGTAAACCAGGCGGCTGGTGGCAGCAAACCAATGACTATGCAGGCCAGCACCAAAATGCTAGTACGCATTGGCCAGTTGAGCGCTGCTATGCAAGGGGAACCGTCCTCACAATAATCACAACCTTCAGCACATTGCAAGCATTCGTACTCATTGACAATATTGTATGTTGAGTTTTTACCCTACAGCGTTCGCAAAATAGATGCATGTAAATGTGAAGGGAGAAAAAAAGCATCAAGCATGACAGGAAACTGAAACTGACTATTGTTATAGTTACGTGTTTAATTATATGAAAGTTATGAACGTGCAACTGCAAGGCAAACATATTTACACTCAATACAGACTCGTGACTATTAAGAGAGACATTGACATTTTTAATAAAAATTAAACCAAAATTCGAGGGTCGCACAAAACGATACACGTTACATGATAATCCTCGAATTAATGCGACTGGGTGCGACGGGTTAACTTGATTACGCGCAAAAGCGTCCAAACTTTTATTTTTTTTTAAGAAAATTGTATTTTAATTAATCGCACAAACTCTAAAGAGATTCTACGCGATGCGAAGGTTCAAAAAACTTTGCTTAAACTCAAAGCGAAAGAAGAATTCAAGCTTGAAAAACATTGCAGAAGTTGATCCAAAGAAATGCCTTAGGGCATTAAGAGCAAAAGAAAACGAAAGAAGAACTCAAGCGTCGGCGTTTTCACTGCAGGGTTTATATTCGCATAGCATGATAATCACTTCACGAAAACGCGAAAACAAAGAAATGCTTCAGAGTATTAAAGATTTTCTACTTTTAATGAGAAGGTGCAGAAAAACTTGCCCAAGCTACGAGTAATTGAAGAAGTCGGTTGGGGTAATCCTCGTGGGGGTTATGTTTACTCAATGGTTGAGGAGATTCCACTTAATAAGTGGGCTCGGGAAACCTTCGTCAAGCTCAAAGCGAGGGAGAAAGTCAAGCATTTGGGTTTTCACAGCAATAGCGTGATAATGGCTTCATAAAAACGTTGCCCGAAATTTATCAAAAGAAATCCTTTAGAACATTACTACTCAAGGAGAGAGCAGATTATATTTCGCTTACTACCTCGCATAACAGGACTCATTTGTTAATAATTTTGCATTGATTGATTGTAAGGAGAGCTTTAGAGCTGGATTTTCAGAGCTCTAAAAATCATTTCTGTTATTATCGTGGGTAACCTATTTTTGTCATGAGTATATGGGGACATGATTACCAAAAAAAGAGTTGGCGGAAAATCATTCCCTTCAAAGTATACTCTCACAAGCACAAGCATTACAGGATAGCAAAATGCTTCAGTCTCTTTGTCTTGGAAAAGGTGCTACGAAAATGAAATTGTCGCGTATACAACAGAAGCACGTGAATCATTGTTGAAAATAATTTGAAGAACAAGATTGCTTACATTGAGCATTTGTTACCTTGAATACATCACAAACGACCCTCGTATACTAACATTCATTTATAGGTGTACTCGCAGCGTTCGTTCAGCAATTAAAATTCATTATTCGTGGTCTTGAAATTGCTACACAAACTATTTAACGGTTTTTTTAACATTGCAAGGCTTAAACATCATTAAAGTTCATGCGATATAAATAAATATGTTTGGATTCTATTTTTATTTTCCTATAATTAATCATCACCTTAGATGTGACTTTAGCATTAATTATTTTAAACAGAGAGCTCTTATGACAAAGTTGTTTAGCCTTTTTAACGAAAGACGGGAAGATAGTAATTTTGACATTTCGTTAATAATATCTACAAAACATATTTGAAAGGCTCAATAGGATATAGCGTGTAGTGCATCTGGTTGCTTGCTAACTTGTAGACTCCACCGATTGCTACGAACCACTTGTCGTATCGTGTTGACCATCTACTGGGCGTATTATTATACAAAAAACCGATCAGCTATCGTTCAGTGCAACTGTCATATGTGATAACTGTCGGACACATCACTTTACTGTAAAGTAGATCTTCTATTGGGATACCCCATCGTTCCAACAGCCTATCTCGTTAAACCTTTATTGTAAAAACTGTCGCGTGCGCGCCTGCTAGCACGTAGGTTGTCTATCATGGTCTATCATCGTCTATCGTTTACAACGTTTATCACATACATGTTCTGCTTCTTACGGATGTAATAACAGCGCACTGTCAGCGACATTTATGAACCGTCCATCAAATGGATCATCTATCACACAAACCATCTATAGGCGTAGAGGCAGCGTACTGGTTACTTGTGGTTCTATAATGGAACAGACTATCCTGGCGCCGCTTTCACATTATCTCAGACTGGATCCTTATCGTATTCTTGATGTTTATTATATTATTGTGCTTCACTCACCCCCGCCTTAAATAAGGGGTTCGTATGCCGCCTTCGTGCAGTTTTATATCGAAGCATGTCTTAAAAAAATCGACGCATATCTTCCATTTTTCGACAATCTATCACATAGACCGTCTGCCTTACAAGCCGCTTGTAATTCACAAGAGACTTATCAAGAGATGATCAGACAAGCTATCTTTCGTACTTATCACATCAGATCGCCTAACAAAGAGTTACTATATCGTTGGGCCCCTTTAATGAAGAGTAGTAATAATGACTATCTGTGAATCGAGTCTGTTTTCAGTCGAGGGCTTATCTTACGAAGAGTACGTTCTGCTGCAGTTGATTAAAGTCCTCAAACGCGCAAAAACTGATAATAAAAATTAACGACACTGGCCGCAAATCCACCTGCGAAACCTACAACACTAATACATCTATATACTATAGGAAGGCGGGAAGTTTGAAAATATATTCGTTATCGAATGCCAAATTAACGTGAATATCTATCAAGATTATACAGAGTAATCCACAAGCTATTCGAAGAGTGACTGAAACTATATACAATCTTGGTGCAAGCAGTCCTTATCGGCAACAATTTGTAAAAACTTGATTTCTTTCATAATAGCTTTCTAAAAATATAGTGTCCTCTGAAGTTGACTACTTTCTAGATAACCCAATATTTAGTTCACGAAATATTTGCCGCAAGACGAGTTTTTTTTTTTTCATTGGTTCTTGACAAAGTTTCTAAAAAAGTAAACATTTGTTGACAGGAAATGTAGTAAATTTTAAAAATGAGAAAAAAGAAAATAATAACATTTTCTTGTCTGATTAAACAACTAAGAGGAAATACCTGTGCAAGTAACTTACCAGCATAAGTTTTTCGTATTCCACTTCCAGTAAGCTGCCATTGAAATATTTGTGCTGACTTCCGGTATCGGGAAAATAATAGCCTTTACGGCAGACACACTTATAAGAGCCGCGACGAAATCCCAAGCCCTTAAGAGCTTCGCACTAGAAAACAGCGCAAATGCAAATAATTCAAGCAGAGAAACTCAATGAATATACAAAAGTTCTTACAAAGAATGTTTTACAAAAAAAACGCTTTGCGTTGTTGGCATAAGATGGATACTGTTTAGTAAGTAACGGAAATGGGTCAAGTATTTAGAGAGCGGGAGGATAAATATTGTCAAATACACAATTTTAATATTTTAAGTTATGACATTTATTACAGTCGCAAGCAAATAAGTACAGAGAGGCACTGCTTTTATTAAAACGGTAAACTATGCTGTTCCTACGATTCATCATCCATTAAATTTGCCCTCGAAACAATAAATGCTATGTCTTTAAATTCCTACATCTATCACTGAATGATAATGGAAACGATAACTTTATCAAAACGTTTGCCACATCCAGAAAGGAACTCCAGATACCCCATAGAGAATAAATATATTTCTTATCAGTATTAAATTCTAAACCGATCTAACTATGTATTGTGTGCATGTCAGTGCGTGGTAAATATTTTCCGAGTCGCAAAAATGCTGCTATCGCGTTAAGATTTATCAGAAAAATTGAAAGCTGTTGCTAGGAGGTTGGTATAGAAAATGTGACGCATTGCGCGAAGCATGCAATAAAGCGTAAACTGCACGCAATTCCATTCCTCTAAGCATAAGTTTATGAATTTTGCTCATTACTTGTAAATTATGAAAGATAGAAAGATGAAATTCTCCACATTGAGCTTTCGGAGAAACCTACTCTTTGTGTACAAATGTGGGCCGCACAAGGCCCGATTTTTATTTTGTTACTTTTTTGACGTTTTTGTGCTTATTACTCATAAGATAAACAAGAGCGAACGCTGAAAATAGTCCTCAGAGAAAGATGTACCGTCCGTCTAGAAATGCGTAAAAGTTTTAATAAATGCGATGGACCTCACGGATGGCTGGAAGAGTAAGGATTCGCTTACTCATTGTCAAAAAAGTAAGTGTAGCCTTGATTGGTTGTCTAAACGCAACAACCCTTGTCCTAAAAAAGACTAGGAGCAAAGAAAGAAATTAATTTCCATACTGTATAATATTGCGTGGGCATGGCTGATCGTTGTATAATTGAAGTGGACGTTTGTGTCGTGTGTCTCTTGAGGAAAAAATATTTTTTATCTATATTTACCCTCTAAATCTATTATTTAATACTTATATCGGTATATCGAATTGTGGAGAAAAAATTAACCCATCACTTCGTTACGTCTGCGATACTTAATTTAGAATTCAAACGTTAAGCTTCTCATGTTCTATTTCCCAAGTCTTTCTATTTGGCGTCCAATTGATTATATTGCTAAGAGAAAACGAGTCCTCTTTAATACGCTACAGTAGCCGACACTCCATCCCCGGTGAAGCATTGTTAGATATAATAACTGTGACAGCCGGTTGCGGCTGAACATATTTTTCTTACTTATTTTTAATTACGAGTTTTATTAAAACATAATAACACGAGATAAGGTCGATCGTATAGTCCTTAAGTTCACATCTCTTTGCCTTTGAGAACGCGACGAAAATTACTTTAAGCTTTTCCTATCGAAGGACTATTAAAGGATGCAACGAACATTTTCAAAGCACAAACGAACATTTTCAAGACACAAACTTTGTTTTTAATTAGTTTGAGAGAAAATTTTGTCGATCCTATCAATCTTAGCCATGGACTCTTCTGTTTTCACTGCAATTATCGTTCAGTTCTATAAACAGGATATAATTCTTGTTATCTTCAATTGATATCATAATATTAAAGGTTAGGACCGATTTCGCTGTAATCTTTTGTTATTAAATTTCTTGATAAATTCAGTTATATTAAACGTATTCATATTATATTGAGCTTAAATCAAGGAATCTTTGTTATATTTCCACTCATTTCGTTTCTGTTACGCTATGAGTGAGTGAAGGGTTGGAAACAATGAATGCGCATTCATTGTGCAACACGCACTCAAATGTGAAAATATGAGATGGTTGCGCGTATTACCACAGCAAAGCAAGTAGATGGCCAACTTTTAGGTTCACTGCATGCATTTGCATTCACGAGCAAAACAATGATGTTTACGTAAACAAACCCAAATCTTATTGTCGATATTTTAAGCACAATACGGTTTTAAACTTTTATTGACACACAATTTCATTTCATTTTCTACATGCAAGAAGGAAAGAAATCAATTGCTATTGAAAAATTAGGTTGTCAAGGGTGAAATTTGTATATAATAGATTATATGCAATCTAGGTATATACATATATATATATAAACAAGCTACGGTCGGATAAGAGCCCCGTTAGATGCCCTATATTTTTTTTGTATGAGAGCAAATTCTAAAAATGTCCCCATACGATCCAAATTTTTCACACTAACTACGACGTTATACGGGCAGTGGTCGAAAAAGTGCTCCAATCCGACCCATTTTCAATAGGGTGCCCACTTGAGTCAAGGCACATTAGTGTATAAAATTTCAAAAAAATATTCGAAAAATTGCGACGTGTTGGCACAGATCAGACAAGCAAGCGGACAGCCAGGCTTATTAGGTGAATCTATCCCAAGTCCTTCTGGGTGTTGTATACTTCCGCACTACCAAAGGCGGTGCAGATCACAAAAAAGATATGCTTTGCATATGTGCAAATAAGAAGCGACAAAAAACCATTCATTTAATTAAAATGAAACTTATGCTTGAAATATATGCCGGCTCAGGAAAGCTACGAAAGGTTACTAAGTTTCGATAGACGACGCTGTAGGCTAGCTTCAGTGTGCTATGGGACCGACTGTAAACAAAAACCAGGCATACAATTTTTATTTTAGTTTTATAAGGACTTCAATAATATTAGGATGGAATCATTTTTGTCAGATATGTTTACCTGGCAATGCCTTCATATTAAATCACTAAACTTTGCAATCTGTCACTTCCCATACTTATAAAGAAATTAGAAAACTGAAAACCACTGAATTTACCTGGCATACGTATTTTCTTGCTCTCCGTACATCACAATTTTTACTCTTACTTCTTAGTTGACTCACTTGCACTTCATTTCAGAAAGATTCAAAGAAAATAGACGACGTGAGTTTTGAATCTAGGGTTTTGAAATTATTTGTACGTATGAACAATTTGTGGAGTAGTTGCGTAGAAATGATCGTCTTTTTGGTCGTACGTCAATTTTATTGCATGGAGATTTCAGACAGACTCTACCAGTTGTGTCGTGATCAATACATATGCATATGAAATTAACGCGTCAGGTCAAAAAAAATTATATTTAATGACAAATTCGAGCGCACAATTACAACATGTTGCAGCAGCTCAGCGCTTTTCGGAACATGTTGACGTCGAAAAGGGTTGCATTACTTCACCATTCGATTTTTATAATATTATGAGTAGCAAAATAAATCTATTTGAGGACGTCATTGTACGTGAGCACTATAGCCATTTACGATATAGAGACGCTATGTTGTAGACGGTGTTCAATTCCTGCACTTCCGAGTAACATGCATTTTATATAATTTTCAACAAGTAAGAAAATTGTATTTGGTCGAGACTGAATCTTCACCCATCACCCTTTCATATTGATCAGCTATAGGCAGACTTTATACCGTTTTTGAAACTTCTTTCTGAGTACTGCAAACGTTTTGACAAAAGAATGAAATTTCAGTATCGGTATAATATTGAGGGGGGGCGGACGATTTTTTTAATTTCTATACAGGAATTGTAGGAGTACCCTTACCCCATAAATACAAATTTTTATCACGGTATCTGTTGTGCTTCATAAGTAACGGGCAAAAAAAACCATTATGTTTTCGCTCAGAAAACAAAGACGGTCTCAGGTGGATCGCATCACTTTGTCGACCGTATACCCATAAACGCTTTATATGTGAAAGAGTTATATGAAGAATAAATTGCAATTTTTAAAATTTTTGCAAAAATAATCCCCGGGCTTTGCTACTGAACAAAGTGATTTTATTTTTAAAATCAGAGGTGATCTCAGGCTGTGATCGATTTATAATCTCAACCAGCGTGGAAACCAGCGTCCAAACTTTAAGCCAAATTTTTGCGCACAGGAGAACATTTACGACAGTCATTCCAAAAACAGATAGATGGACGGATGGACGGACATGCTTATATTGGTTTAGAATTTGATGCCGATTAGGAATGTATATATTGTATGGGTGATCTCAAGTTTTCTTGTCATTGCTGCAAACGTTTCGCTAAAAAGGGAATGCGGAAGGTATTCATTTCGTTAGATGACGGGAGTATAAAAGTATCAATAAATCATTCTCATTGCCGTCGTCTTCAATCAATTAATTATTTACATTTCATTTCTCTTATTAGGTATTTATTTTTTACTTCAGATTCTCTGGTTTTACCTCTGTTTCATTTACTAGCTTATTTATTTTTCTTCTCTCTTTCTTTCCATTTTTTTTTTTCTGTTTCCTTACTTACCATCGTTGTACGCTGCTTGCATTTGTCTGTGCCTGCAAATATATTCAATGGTTGCGTGGTACCTGGGGTATTACGTTGCGGACACTGGTCAATATCAACTCGACGCAAATCTATATCGATGCCAGATGTACCTCTATAAGTATATATCAAAGATGGAAGTGTAGTTAGTTGTTTATATAATTGTTCGAGATTTTTAGTAAATATTTCTTGTTTGTTTTTTTCATTCCTTAAATATTTAAATAATTCCACTTTGAAGCTAATACATAAACCTAACCTTGAAATCGTAATTGAAAGCAAATACCATTAAAATGAAATAAAATGATATCATGAGAAATTTATATTTACCTTGGGATGAATATATGAGGATGCTTGCAAAATTTGTAACACATTTTTTTCTTGTTTTTTGTTTTTTTTTTTTCAACGGACGGAAGTAAGATAATGCCCTCCTCTGACGTCACTGACTCAGAATTCGCTAGTTTTTTAAATTGCCTCGTTTTAAATCAATTCGGCAAACGAAATGAGTAAAGCACTCGGGCAGTACTACAAATACACCCATTGTATGTGTGAGATTATTAACGAAAGCACTTCGAAGTTCATAACGACCTATGCGAGGCACGTCTTTTGTGTCGAGTTGTCCGTTTTAGATCTTAGGACATATGTGTAATTAAGAACTCAAGGTTAGAGATTATTTTCGAGAGAAATGTTCAATATTTCCTACAACAACTTCTTAAGATTTGTTGTTTTTTACTGAAGAGAAAAAAGTCAATCAACGAAAGTCGAAAGGCTAATCGAAGAAATAACAGTCCATCTTAGCATATTAGAGTATTGTACTTTTGTCTTAACAGCACCTTCGCGACCTTGACTCTGTCTAACTTATGGAATTGTGAAACACTAAGGTCATGGCGTACGTGGGTCCGGGCCATGTGCGTATGAGCAAAACGCTTGCACAAGCCGTTGCGATAGAAGATAAGCCGCCCGGATTGCTCCACAACACTGCAAGCTTAACGTCACGTAGCTCCCTGAATCTTGATACTTGAAAGCGGGACTGCTGCGCATCATTACAACTTTATCTTTACCATGAAGACAGTTTCAACGACGACCAATATGAAACATGAGGACATTAGACGCGAGCATGCAGTTGTTTTCCATCATTCATTGAGTTCGTAAAGTTGGTGCAATTGTGTAGAATTTTTCAAAAAACAAAAAAAATAAAGTTTTAATAACGACTTTATTCGTCGAATGGTCATACTCTGATCAGCTAATAACATAACATGGCATATTCAAAGAATTCCTGTGATCTGCATGCCTTTGTTTAAAAATGTCTTATACTGAAATTACACTAAAATAAATTAAAATATCACGAGCATACCTTTTTAACCGAGTAATTTGCACTTTTTCCGGTTTACTTACTCCTTGATATTTATTGTGTAAATGGCAGACTTTATATCAATTATTATTATTAAGATAAAGCAAATATATTGCCGAAAGCAATAACCTTTCCATTTTAACTCAAGCGTCGTTAATATTCAGGAAAAATGTTCTTACATTTGTGCTTTTATGGCTACAGAAAATATTCGCATAAAATGTTTGCAGTCGAGTCTTATAACACATAGCGTAACAGAGTAAAATAAACATAAATCTTAAGTTAACTATTTATTTAAATTAGAGGCAACGATAACATCAAAAATATTTGAAGTAAACACTAGACCTTCAGCGAAGCGAAGGTACATTGAAACGGGAATTACAAAAGCACTTAAGGAAAAGTGAATGGATTCTGCGAATACATTTACTTGCAGGACAGAGCGGTAAAGTAAACTTTTCTGTTTACACAAAATTTCTTACTTTCTTGATTGCGTTTATGATAAAAATCGATTGCCTTTGTCTTCTTGTCCTCTTGTCTGACGCTTGTTTCCCTTGTTTACAACATATTAACGTTTCACGCACTAACTTCTTTCGCTCTCCTCACGTAAACATAATTTGATTTCGGTTCAATTATCAGATGTTGTTATACAAACAAATTGCGACATGCTGTTTCCGTTTCTCTTGTGTGATGTAATAGCAACATGAAGAAGTACCAAAAATTTATTCAACTAAAAAAAAAAAAAAATAAAAATAGAAAGGGAACAAAAACACTTACAGAGACAATTAACGAAGTTACATTCATTCACTTTACAGCTTAGGTAAAATTAAGGTTTTTCGGCATATAGTTATGTCAATGGGCCCATTTGAGTGATTGCATCAATACGGGACTGACTTTTACATAAAATAATTCTTTGTTTTGCCGACGATAACAAACCGTGACTTATTACATCCAAAGTGGTTGATGCCTTCTCAACCATTTATAATATCCGGGAATAAGCGAGCTTATGTCATATCTAAATTAACTTGTACATTTAAAGGTACGTATGAGTGACAAATTAAACTAAATAGGCTTAGTGTGATCGGTTGCCAAGCGTTTGCATATTTGCATCGGATGGGAATGTACGCCTGTACGCTGTAAGTGTATAGAACTTGGTGTTTATGCCGATTTATAAACACCCAATAAGGCTTGAGATAGATCCATCTATTCAGTATCACTTCGTAGTATGTTTACTTGCTAAGAGTTGGCTTAATTGGGTTTACTCTACTGTCAGTAGAAACGTTTTTATCTTGAGAATCTGTCCCCCTACGTGCTTGGCAAGAATTTGTGTATAGGACTTGGAAAAACTTCATCTTCAATCAAAGTCTAAAAGTTCTATTTCCTCCTCTGGCTCTCTTTTCTTGTTTAGCGAGAACCTGAAAAATCGTAATCTCTCTTTCACTTTAGCCTTTTCTTCTCATCAGATAAAGTCTGCTGCTATATGGACACCAATTCTCTCGTAAGCAATACAAGTGAAGGCAATGTTTTAAGTAAATTATGTCGTAGCAAGTTTGTGTAGATGTAATGCTATCACGTAACTCATAAGCTGATACAACTTGTTTGCAGTGCGCTTAGGAGCTTACGATAAGAAGGATTTGTTGTTTTGAATGTGTTATGTTTGCTCAGATGTATTAACTGAAAAACAGATGAAAGCGTTAACGAAGCTAACTAAGCAAGTCTGCCTAAGTTTATTAAAAATGAGAAATTTTTGGAAAAAATCTTAGTGGGAGTTATATTGAACGTAGGAGGACATGACTCGAATTTAAAATAAATTTTCTTTTTTTTTTCTTTTTTGTCAAAGAACTTATTCTTCGTTATAAAATATGAGAAATTAGCTCTTGATGGGCAGTAAATAAAACATTTGTATTTGAGGATGTTTGATGTCTTCCTTAGCTGTCAAATGTTGGGTGCGGAGATCCTTGCAAAGTGGTTCCATGTAGGTAAGCAAAACCTCATTATCGCCCACATCGATGATTTTCTTTGAGACTAAAGTCTGCGGCCCCAAAATTGGGAAACTATAGTTGGTAGGTTCGAACATTTGCAACTTCATCTCGCTGTACGGGGTTCACTTTGCTAAGCAATCAAGCGTCATATGGCGCATGATTGTTTTGTTCCAACAAATAAAGTTACTAGCAACTTATAAAGGTGGATAGGACTTTCCCGCCAACCTAACATATTTCTTTATCTGTATATGTTATATCATTTAATGAGCTCGTAGGCTGGCATAGGGACGTGGCGGCTGTTGCCGAACCCCTACTCCCAATCGCTAAAACAAGTATAATTTATAAAGTAACAGCCGTTTGATAGTTGGATATAAAAATTATATGAATCTACATACAATGTGTTATTATGTAAGCATTAAGTTTTAATGCTTTACATACAATATTTTCTGAAAATATTAACAGAAATAAAATGCTTTCCACTTGCAAATTTGTTCACTATGATTTGAAACTAGGCGAGGTCGACAATTCAAAGCCATACACCGCCTTATCTAGCGCTGTCGAATATTAAGAATTTAATCAAAGAAACCACAAAAATAGTTTACTTCAAGAGCATAACTCCTTAGCCCAAAACACATTCGTGAACCGAATTTCGTGGAAAATTCCTCGCAATTTACGATAGCAAAAGTATATCGATAAACATCAAACAGACATCGCATTACCTTAGAACACTCACAAGTACAAGTGGTTTAAAATTAGTACAAGAAGGAAATTAAAAAAAAAAAAAAGATGTGTAGTACACTCACGTTATTTGAGTACACTCACGTTAATGAAATAAATATACGATAAACAGTAAAGCATAAGTTGAAGTATCAAGTTGCAATGACATGTAAGTTGCGCACATGTAATCAAAGGACAAAGTGTCAAATTGCAATAAATGCTAATAATTGTTTAGTTTTGACATAAATTGCGAATATTTATTTTTAGCTAATGTTGGATTGAGTGATTGATTAACAATTGCAGTCAACGGGTATATTGAATGTATTCAAAACTGTAGTTGAGGCGAGTATTCGTCAGGCTATCGCAGACATAGTGCTGCTAATGTTGGAGTGAGTGATGAAGTATTCGAACCACCGTGACGGACATTCCAACCATATTCTGCTCAGAAGATAACTGTAATATCTGAAAGATCCAAAATGAACCACAATTTGATTTGATTGTTGTTGTTAATCTGTTTTTTGATTCTTTCAAACACTAAAAGCTATCAACGCTAGTGAGCATCACTCTTAACGGGAAAGCCTTAACAGTACAAGTTCTGAAGACTAGATAAACCAGCCACCACAGACAGACCCATAACTTGACTACAGAAGGATCACCATATTGCAAGGCGGTCGCAGATAAAGACAAAGATAAAGATTGAAAAGGAAAAAATTAAATTTGAATCACATAGCAGTCAAAAAAGGAGTAAATTAAAGAAGTGGTCAGTCAACTTAAATATTTAGGAGTTTGCATCCAAACAACATATAACCAAATGATTTCAAAAAGGATATAATCTATAATTTACGATGGGATAAAACACTATTCATGTGTTGTTTGTTTTTTTTTTCTTTTTTTCTTACTTCACAATTGCGCGTCCCATGCGTGGTTATATATAGGGTATCAACAGTCAAACCTGTGCGCAAATTACAACGCTTCAGTTGGTTTAGGAAATGAATGTCTGTATTGTAATAGGATAGCAGTGCTTACTTACTACTGCACTAATAAGTCGTCCTAGATAAGTGTATAATAAATGTT